TCAATTTCCACTGGATTCTTGTCAGTGGAAATTGAAATTTTAAACTCCACTAGTGAAGATTGAAATTTTAATTTCCACTAGTGGAATTTTAAATTCCACTGAATTTTAATTTCCACTGTAACATATACATCGATCTAGAGAATTATCTATAGATATAAATGTTCACGTGGAAAAAGAACTGAAAATAAATTCTCTTGCGTTCTTACAGTTAGACAGAAAAGTACAACCTATCCAACCCTGATCAGTGTCTGTTTCTTGGAAAATCTCAAGACCAGTCCAAACTTACTGTCTATCTGATCAGCAGAAAAAACAGATTTTCTTGACCTGTTCTTATCACTTTCTTGGTCTGGTCTTGGAGCTGATCAGGACAAGAAAATAAAAACAGGAAACAGACAACTGTAAGTAAATAAGTCTGTATCCTGTTCTCAAGACCAGATAAACTGGACATTCTCTAGGGATAGTACTCGCCAAGCTCTACAAAATGGATATTCAAGATATTTGGATAATCAAAGATATTTTTGGCCTACTTCGTTTTCATCATTTTTTTCGATCACAAAAGTCGAACATATCGATTACTGCATTCAGTACTTTAGTTTTACTCTGATTTTGGCTTTTATTGAGCGAGAAGAGGATCTAATGCTAAATTTAACTTATCCTTAACTTGATCGAGTCAAAAGTCCTTAAAAAATAATTATAAGAAACATTTTTCGCAAAGTGCTTATTTTAATTAACCTCGGACAATAGAATTCGTCAAAAAAATCCGCTACGCAAAATGTTCCCTATAATTATTTTTTGAGGACTTTTGACTCGATCAAGTTAAGGATAAGTTAAATTTAGCATTAGAACCTCTCCTCGCTCAATAGAAGGCAAAATCGGAGTAGAACTCCCGCTAAAGTACTGAATGCAGTAATCGATATTTTCGACTTTTGTGATCGGGGAAAATGATGAAAACGAAGTAGGTCAAAAATATCTTTGATTATCCAAATATCTTGAATATCCATTTTGTAGAGCTTGGCGAGTACTATAAATGGGTGAAAACAAAAAAATTCTACCGTATAGTTTTTGTGCTGTTGGGCCTGAAAGTTGACTGTTTATAGAAAAGGGTCTTCAAAGATGGGTTTCATACTCAAAGAGGAAGATAGATGTCGACCTTATTCTTTTTTATTAGATTAATTAGTTCAGTAACTTCATTTTTATCTATAGTGCAAGTACGTTTTGTTTTGCCTTCAGAAAACGTGAAATACTGAGTACCATTTTCAGCCATTTTGTGACAGCTGGTCTGGCATTGTAAAAGTACTTGAGCAAGCTTTTAATATCAGTATTTGTACTACTGGAAATACTCTTTCGTGTGGTACGTCCAATTTTTATGCTCTGTACAAGAAGAGCCTTGAAATTTTTGCGGCTAAAAGTTAGTTTCATCTATTTTTATCTGCAATTCAGTACAATTTCAGTACTCATTGCTCTCAGATTTATTGTTCTTCATAAATATGAAAAAACACAATAATAGAGAATAATGTATATGGCTTCATATGTTTCGGCATCAACCTGTTCTTTGTATTCTAATCGTTTATTTGTATGAATTTGCAACGTCTGCTCTACATCATTGAAAATGATTCTGTTGTCTGTAAAATCCCAGATAAACCCGGAAAGTTTGACTATACTCATCTACTAGGGAGTTACATTTTTGTAAAATCTGAGTCTATATTATTCTTTTTTCTAATTCAATGAGCTTTTTGCGCAAGCGTTCCTATGGGATAATACGGATTTTACAAACTTTCATTGCTTCAAAGTAACTAAGACAACTGAAGATGTGAAAAACTAATTTATTCTTTCTCTTACCACCATATTTCACTATGAAAAGTGAAATATTTCGGAAATAGCATCTTAAACTTTATCATATAACTGAATTAGTATGTAATATAAACTCCTACTCATTGACAGCCTCCGTGTTCGTTCACGCGGTGCAGAGAAATAGAAAATTTACAATTCCGTAATTCATAAGACAGTGATGAACATTGTGTTTATCGTTTACATAATTTCAGATATGTGATTTCTGTGTATATATACGATCTGACTATTAAACTAATGGAAAAAATTTTCTAAAACCTAATAAATGTATCAGATTTCTTTTATGTAATACAGAAATAAACTAGATATTTTGTTTCTTTTTCTAGTCTTAATTAATGTCACCAAAAAGTATTCGAAATGAGATTGATCTTATTTGATAAACGCCTACAGTTGATGTGCGGGGAAAAGATCAGTCGATATAAAGTAAAAAATTGATTCATATAAATATGCATACGATCTTATATATTCATCATTATTTCAAGTCTAGTTGAGTGAATTTTAAACCTTCAGAATATAATGTCTTATAAATCTTCGTATTTTCGATGTTTAGAAGTAAGTAAATTCTCGATTTATAAATAACTTCGCTAAACATTATCCTATCAGTAGAACAGTTATTACATGCACAGCCATGTAATATATCTCAGAAATACTCGGTTATAGTAGAGATAATGTCAGATACGTCATGGTTTTCAGTAATAAAGCCATATGTCCGTGATTTAGCATCGCCTATCAACGTTACGTGAAGATATGGATGATCAAGAAGTAGTTGAAACAATCAACGATGAAACAACACCGGAAAAATTGCACCAACTAGTGCAACAAGGTCGAACAACTTCATTTATCTTTTCGTTAAAAAACAGACTTGGAGGGTTAGCACGAGCATTAAAAGTTTTTCAGGTAAGTAAGAAAATCTTGTATCAGAACTTCCTATGGATTCAAAGTTTCGAGACGAGTCCAGACCGGATGTATTCGAAAAGGTTTTTCTAGTCCATGGACTAAAAAGTCAGAATTCAGTCCACTTCGCAAAAAAGTCTTCCAGATGAAGTCTATGAGTTCAAATTTTATGATGGATACAGCCTTAGAGACTGCCCGCAGTTTTACGGGAATTGTTAATGGTTCGGTGTACCTAATATGCGTAGAGGCGTACGCAGTCAAAAACAGGCATATATACGCACGCAGTCATTTACGACGCCTTGTGAACTTCCGAGTGAAGGCATCTGTAACAATACAAAAAGAACATGTTCTCATCTTTTCTTTATCGACACAAAGATCAATGTAAAAATTTTTAGTCCAGTTCATACGAAGTTCTGTCTCTTATACACATGTTCATTTCAACAAAAATTTGAGATTTTTTAGGAGCATGGTATCAATGTAGTACATATTGAATCACGCTTGTCACGTAGAAATAATTCGGAATATGAGATATATGTAGATTTAGAAGCTGATCGACAAAGAGTAAAAAAGATGATGTTACAGCTACAACGTCAAGTATCTTGTGTTCGTTTGGACAATGTTCTGTCATCATCAAACAGTATGGATTATGCAGGAGATGCGAACGATGTAGAAAATGATGTATTTACTGAAGGACATGAGAATAATATTGATCAAGTACCGCAATCACCATTCTTAGATGCTAATGGAGAACCGATTCAACGTAAAAGTATGTAACATATTTAACTATTTTTAGTCGTTAAAATCTGTTCTATGTAGGTTATATATCATTGTATCTATTCTGTGTGTATAATGCGCAAGTCTTCGAATAATATAAAGAAGAAAAAAAATGTTTTTCACATTAATGAGTTAAATGAGGGCAAAGTATTCATTCATTTTTGAATAAGAAGTACCACTTGTATAATATTTAAAACTACTGAATGAGAATTAGTTTTTGCGGTTTTTTGACATACATACGTCAATGTAATGCCTGTTATTAAGACAGCATGACTTAGTCTGGTCTCCCACTTCGCGTCTTGTTCCCCTTTTTTTCATAAATCCTCTTTTTGGCCTCTTTTTTCACGAACACAGTACCTATTGATGAACAAATTCGTTATTGTTGGTTCATCCAGTGTTTCATGCCATCACGTATTTTTACTCTTGACTTCTACTAGTCGTTAAGCTCAGGTTCTTCAATCAAGTGAGACTAGAAACGCTCTCAGCAACCTAGATTAAACAAAGTACCAATCCAATATATGTAGTATATTTAAAAATAATGATAAAAAATACATATGCAGGAATAACGTGAAGTAAGGAGACCATTAACTGATCCAATACTATCCATTATATATATATATTAGCATTGGTATATTTGTTAGCATTTTTCGCCCGAAAAAAACTGAACTCCTTTTCCTCATTTTTTTGAAACTACGGATCCTCTTTTTTTCTCTTTTTTTACAAACTGTCGGTGGGATATCAGGACTTAGTAGTTATGTTGTTCGTCACATACTGCAAACGTAGTGTATTCGAGACTCAGCGCCAGGTCATGTAATAAACTCGGATGAGTTAGTTAGATCTTAATGTCTCGGATCACCCGTCCGACACCATACTCACTACGTTATGACGTATCATACAGCAATTCGGCAGCACCCTATACTAGGAACGGTAGCCGGGGTATTCTTCCTTCCTGTTTTTTTGAGTAATAACCGAATTAAAAAAATTCTTCTTGTATATTGCGTGAAAATAGTTTAAGAGTTTACAGTTTCAACTGCATTTCTCTAAGTTAATGACAAAGACTATAAGAAGATCAAAGCATCAGATATGCCTACAATGGTACAAAATCTTTCTACTTTAGCTTTTAGCTATTTAAAAGTCCAAGGAAGAAAGAAAATGAGTGTGGATGGATAAAATTGTGGTTTTTCCTTTAGTGTGATTTTTGCTCACATACATTTGAGTTACGTGTAAGGATGATTTAATCAACTCTTGTGATTTTCGATCGAATTCTGTGTTAAGTAGAAAGAGAGTAGTTATCAACACTTATAACAAATGATCTATTCTAAACTCATCGTCTATAAAAGTCTACCAGCTCAATGTTAATAAACCTTTTGCTGTTTCTTTTCTATCAGTTCACTGAGGCTTTGCTTTCAGATTCCAACTGATCACTAGAAGTATTCAAGGTAGCTGATTTTTACGACATTTAGAATGCCCAATGAAAGGACGGGGGCGATTATCTGATGAAATCGGCTCATATGCCTGAACTTTTTTCTCTATATTATATATAAGTCAAATTGTAGCTCGACAAATTCTCTATCGAATGGTATATTTATTGTAGTGGCTGAATGAGAAATAGTAATAAAATCATTTTCCTATAAGACGACATATTCTAGGGTTTGAAATCATAATCCTGGCATCATCAGAAGAATCATTTATCATGTACGATATGGTAGAAAAAAAATAAAATCTTTTTTTTCTTTTTCTCAAGAAAAACTAAACAAATCACACATTCAATGAATGGATAAACAAGCAGGAGATAGAATGTTAGAACCGTGATTTTATAGGAGAAAACATAGCACAAAATATTTGAAGTTTGAACTCATTAATAGAAGAGTTTTTTAAATAAAAAATATGCACTGCGCAGTATTTTTAGAGATATTTTTCACCATTCGTCCAAGGTGACGCACATTCCCACTTACACATATGTATAAAAGAGAATTATTGTATTCAAGATCAGAGACAGCTGATATATATCTATCAAGAATCGTCAGTGTCTTCATTTTTCGATAAGACAACATATTCTATTTTTTAAAATCAAATTTATGCTTAAGAAATAAATATTTTTACTTGCTTTAAATAATAACTAAAAGAAGAATATTTGTATGATGACACTTGAAAATAGTTTATTATCAACTATCACAAACCATCATTCTAGTACGATAATCAAAGATCAACAGCAAAAAGATCATGTATGTTTTATGACCGGATTATTAAATGCTCTTGAACGTAAACTATATGTATCAAACGAAAATGATAGGACTTTGTGTCATGATAATGTTTTATGTTATTTGTCAAATATTATTGCTCATGGATCAACACAAGAAATTGAATTACAATTACAAGACTATTTTACTAATGACGAATTGGAAACATCAAGATGGCATCTTTTCAATTGTATTGATTATTGTCTATGTAATGAGAATAATAATTATTTACAAAAAATATTTCAAGAATGTATAAATAATCTACAAAACCGACAACAATCACTGTCATTATTGTTGATTAGTACAATACAAACATTATACAATAATAATTTATTTGATTGTTTACCAACATTTGTTGCTAATGATTGGATATCAATGATTCGAAAAATTCAAAATATGGAAAAAATAGATGATATGTCTATTCGTGCTAAAGATCAAAATTTTGTTGAACAAATGGTGAATTTAAAAGAACATTTGACTAAACTGTGTAATATAGTTATGTCATCAAATGAAAATATATCACCAAAAATGCAACAAAACTCAAATGAATTTTGTTGTTTACAATCCTATTGTTCTCACACATCATTATATCGACAACCATCGTATACTCGCAGATCATCTTTGATAACTTCTTCATTACATGGTGATCTCATTGATTCAAATAATCAAATGATAATGGATTTTGTATCAGTCGATGATATTCTTCCACCTCAATCATCAACCGATTCATCTATAGCAGGTTCATATCATCCGACAATCGATGATTTAAATGAAACAGAAGAGAATAATTCAAATTTGTTTAAAGGATATTGTAATGGACCCGTTGGTTACATTAGAAATCCGGTATCAAATTTTGTAATCCCAACAATGTATGCTAAAGATAAAAATGACCACAGTATGAAAGACATGGAAATAATTGATAATTTAGTAGAAACTGGTACATCAACCAATCATGATGATTATTTATTAGACAATTTTCGAAATAGTAATCAATATTTACAACGTACTTCCTCCATTCAATCAAGTGGACCTGTTTTGATTAAACATGAAACAGATTTATGGGTCTATCCGGTGCATCGAAGATCTCGCATTACTAGGCCAAGAACATTAACAGATAGTATTTCAGAGGATTTCTCGACTATTCGATCAAGTGCTCTCGAGAATGAATATACATTAAATACATCTAGAGAATTAAAAGGACGGTCAGATTCACTAAATGATGGTACATCTGAATCACTTGTCTGCGATACATCCAGAACAAAAGGTAAAAAATAGAAAATAGTCAAATCATTTAACAAATCTTTATAATAGAAGTGTAATGAACAGTAATACTTTTCTAATAAGTTATAAAAAGTTTTTGTTGGGCATTCTATATTTTTGTAATTTTTTTTTAAGAAGAGAGAAATGATACCGATAACGAATCGTATAATGTTAAAAAGTTTTTCGTAGACTACGAGATAAATGTTTATTCAATGTGGATCAAACGATACTATCTTATCCATCGTACTGGGGTGAAAAACAGATAAAATAATGTCTTTGTTAACTATTAATAATAGTCAATTAATAGCCTAAAAATGTACATGTTAAACATACCACTAGGAATGCATATATATTTGACTTAGGATAATGCATGTTAAATACAAATATGTACACGTTTACGCCACTGTATACATACCTTTAATACGTAACTAAACGAATATCTAAAACAAATCTATATTCTTTAGCATGTTAAACTGTTATTTATTTCATCTTTTCTTCGATCTATGACTAATTCTATATCTCTCAGCAATGTTACCCGACTATACATGATTTTTTAAACCTCTGATTCGAATAGACAATAACCATGAAATAAACTATTGTTTTAATCATTATAAATGTTATAAGTCCTAATATTAAAGAAAAAATAATACTTGAATAAACCACTTGATTTTGCTTATATTTTTTCTAGTAGAGGTAGATGAAACACCATGGTTTCCTCATCGAATAGTTGATCTTGATCAATGTTCAACAAAAGTACAGCTGTATGATGTGGATTTAGACAGTGATCATCCGGTAAGATTTAATAACCTTCATCCAATTATCTACCATTACGATAACTTTCTTTCTCTATAGGGTTTTGTAGATGCCGTATATCGCGCTCGACGAATGTATTTTCATGATTTAGCTATGGCCTACAAACAGTACGTAAATTTAATCCTTCTTTTTTAAAATCATTAATTATATTTAATATTTATTATTAGTGGTGATCCTATACCTCGAGTTCAATATACTCGTGAAGAAACGGAAACATGGTAAGTTTTATATGAGAAAGTAGCAGAAAAAAAATATATTTAAACGATTTTAATTTCTTATCTTCTAGGAAAGTGGTTTATACAACATTAAATCGTTTATATCCGACACATGCTTGCAACGAGTACTTAGCAAATTGGCCATTACTAAGAGAAAAATGTGGTTATCGGTATGTCTCACACTTGATCAATTAACTTCAACAATCTACTAATTTATCTTGATATTTTATAGAGAAGATAACATTCCACAATTAGAAGATGTTTCGCGTTTTTTACGAGAACGTACAGGCTTCACATTACGACCAGTTGCAGGTTATTTATCACCAAGAGATTTCCTATACGGTTTGGCATTTCGTGTTTTTCATTGTACTCAATATATTCGTCATTCAGCCAATCCATTCTATACGCCAGAACCGTAAGCAATTTTTATTAATAATTGATAAAAATTGTCTAATTTTTATCTGTTTAGTGATTGTTGTCATGAATTACTCGGACATGTTCCACTGTTGGCAGATCCAAATTTTGCTCAATTCTCGCATGAAATTGGACTAGCCGCTGTTGGAGCATCAGAAGAAGATATTAACAGACTCGCAACGGTAAAATTTTTACATTTCTTTTAATTTTTTTTTTCGTTGTTAAATGTAATGATATTATTGTAGTGTTATTTCTTTACAATTGAATTTGGATTATGTCGTCAAAATGGGGGATTGCGCGCTTATGGTGCGGGTCTATTATCCTCATGCTCTGAACTGCAGGTATTTAATGATAATAACGGGTGGGCCAGAAGAAACGGCCGCCTCAGTATTTTCTCAATATCTCTTTCAATTTTTATACTTTCGGACTGAATTTTTTTTTTCTCAAAAGACTCAGCGTTTAATTCTTTATAAAATCATATACAAATGGGTTCCATGGAGGTAAAAGCAAGAAAGATATCATAATATTGCGAACATGCAACATCAACAACTTTCAAGCACAAAATACAATGTCTTGTATTTATGTGTTCTCATGTTGATCTATATGGATAAATTAAACCATCCAGATTATAGAGCTTTTTTTTTTTTACCTTACTCGCATGTTGAAGAATTTGTACAACAAAAATCTATAGTATAAAAATAAGCGTTGCTTTTTTCAAACTTACAGAAAACGCTTTTTTTACCGTAATCTTTCATGTCAGTCAAAAATTGTTTCTTTCCGCGAAATTTTTTCGTGTAAAGGTTACTGAGTTATACTATACAAGTCTGCTTTAATTTCGAACAAATGACATTTATGTCGACTAAGTTGAAGCAGAAAGCCTAAATATACCAGATTTGGACCAATTGTCCAAAAAACCGGATTCTCTATCAATATTTTTAGTTGAAGTGTTCTCTCCTATGTTCTGTCAGATAGAGCTCACACGATTGTACCATAAATGAAACTTTTGAAGGTTTTGAACAGTGTATTGCTAGCAGGAAGAAACGAAAATCAATTTAAATAGAAGTGTGAAGTTGTTGATGTTGCATGTTCGCAGTATTACTACGATGTCTTTTTTGCTTTTACCTCCATGACACCCATTTGTATATGATTTTCTAGAGAATTGAACGCTGCATCTTTTGAGAAAAAAATTCAGTCCGAAACTATGAAAATTGAAAGAAATATTGAGATAATATTGAGGAAGTCATTTATTCTGACCCACCCATTACATAATAAGTAGAATAAATGATTATCATTTAATATTTTTAGCATGCCGTTAGTGATAAAGCAAAAAAGTTACCATTTGATCCAGATATTGTATGTCGTCAAGAGTGTTTAATTACAACCTATCAAGAACAATATTTTGTTTCCGCAAGTTTTGTCGAAGCAAAAGATAAAATCAGGTAAAATATCATGTTGAACAACAACAGAATTATTAATTCTTTTTTTTTTTTTTGATTTCATAGAGAATTTGCTTCATCGATTAAACGTCCATTTGCAGTCCGATATAATCCATATAATCAAAGTATCGAAGTTGTGAGTAATACTGAACAAGTAGCACAAATCATTAGCGATTTAAAAGGAGATATGTGTATTATATTTGATGCCTTAAGAAAAATTGAACATAGTATCAAGAATGAAAAAGATAATGAAAAATAATAATTATTTATCAAGAAAAAACAACAGTGAATTATTCTTCTATTGCCTTTTGTGACTACATTTGACATTTATTTTTGTTGTTGTTCGTTTTTCGTACTAAAAGTATAAATATACAAGATATTTATTTCTAATACGTTTTTTTATAATGTACAGGATTCAATTTGATTGATCAGTTTCAGATAGTCGAGTATCGATGGCTTAGTAAATAAAGTAATGATAAATTATTTTTTTTAATTTTCAGTATCGCAAACGGATTTGTGCGAAATTGTACTTTTTCTTTAATAAAGATATTTTCAATGATCTCGTACAATATACTATTCTTTAAAATAAAGATTGTTACTAATACAAGGTCTTATATTTTTTTCTATTTAATATATGAGTGAATCGTAACTTTTTTGTACAATTGGATTATAGTAGTATTTGACCTATAAGTATTCTTCGTATGAATCAATCTTAAAAGTTTTTTTCAGTTTTTTCTTCACTATGTCTCCTGCTACTTGACCAAATTTAATCTGTTTAGCTCACCATCTTACTGAGATATGGGAGTTTAACTTTAAAATAATGACACTTTTTAGTAAGGAGCTTAAGGAAAAGCAGGTTTTCCAAGAAGAGGAAGGAAAAAAAAAGAAGTGAATCAGCTATTTTGTAGAGCGTTCATTCTTCTATTGAAATATGTGATTGATTCTTCTACATTTCTTTTGTTTGAGTGCGTTTTCTGATAGTGAAACGCTTTTACAAACACTTTGTAGAACGAGATTAAAACGCATGTGGCAAACTGTACAGAAGTTGTTTAGCTGAATTAAGTTGTCTGAAAGATAGAGCGCATAATCTAGTATAAAAAACAAGTAAAAATATTTTCGAAACTCTTTTAAAATAGTTGTAACAAACGAACATGTAAGTTTTTTACTCACTTTGTAGAACGAGATTTTGAATATTGTATCCTTTGTAACTCCTGAATACTTCAGCCGATTTCGTTCAAACTTTCACAGTAAATAGAGATCAAAAAGTTCTATAAGTGAAAAAAAATTCGACCTTCTACGTTGTTTCGTTTTCGAGAAATTTACATTATCCGGTGAAATGTAGAACGAGATTATTTTCGAAATATCTTAAGTAAACTTAAGGCAAAATACCTCTTATCATTCGATTCGTCTCGACATACAGAATCAGTCTAGATACAAACGCCACGCAGAAAAAGGTTTAAGATGACCGGGAAGCTCAAACATCCTGCAGAAGTCTATGAGCTTCCGTTTTTTTGGACGAATCGCGTATGAGTGCGCCTGAACATGATGTAAGATCCATCATACGATTGCTGTCATTGAATTGCACCGAATGGTGGTGCTTTAAAACGTTTGCTTGGTCAAAAAAGCATAATTCAATCCTTGTTTTTGCTTTGTTTGTTTGTTAAAACACTTCTCATTAGTCCGTGTCTGGAACGATACATGAAATATAATGGAAAAATAGTATTTGTGAGCTGATATAATGAGAAAAATCACATAGCAGTTAGAGCTAATGGTAGAGTGAAAGCGATGAAGCAACAGAATACGTTATAGAGCGCCATAAAGTTTAAACGCTTCTTTTATGACTGCTCTTGAACCACAAAATTAATATCATCTGTTTTTTTCTACCATGGAGTCGTCTTTACAACGTTCATATGGCCTCATTCATTCCTCTCGTCGAGATCTATAGAATGGAATATGATACATAGGTTTTCAGTTTGCTTTCACTGGCTTTTTTGTTAAATAACCTTCTGAAAGTTATAGTTACACCTGAGCGCCCTGTATCTCAGCTATTATGCAACCAAGTGTTGGGAAACTTTTGTCTCATAAACTAGGAAGGGAGTACAACAAAACACACGACTCAGAACTGTTTTATTCTTACTTAGAATTTTTTATGCCAATAGTACAAAAAAGATACGATTCACTCATATATATATTTATATAAAAACACACACACACACACACACACGCACAAAAATAAAAAATAATAAATCACACAAATTTTGATGAAAAAAAAATTTCGAGAAATGAATTTATTCAACATCATTCATTGAAGCTACTGTTGTCGTTGATGTTACTTTTTTTTGTTGATCTGATTTTTTTAACGTATGTTCTAATACAAATGCATCACACGGTTCTAAACGTCTATAATATTCTGTGGCTGTGGAAACAATTTGAAAACCAAATTTCTTATAGAATGATAAAGCTGTGTCATTATTTACTTGAACATGACTTAAAAAACATAAAACAATAATTGAGATGAACTAAAATATTAATTTAAAAAGAACTTACAGATAAATACTATCAATATTTCCATCACGTTCACATAATTTGAAAACATGCTGTAACATCATTGTACCTAAAATAGAATCAGTTTAAATTTGAAAAAAATTTTGATAATTTTTACGAAAAATATTACCTAAACCTAATTGTCGATATTTTGCTAATACACCTAATGTCATTATATATAATCGACGACGATTATCACTAATATCTATTCGACAACAAACAGCTCCAACAACAACATCATTACAATAAGCTAAATTAAAAATAAATATATATATATCCATTCATTAATTGATTGAGATTTATTATTTTAAATGTACCTAATTTTGCTAATTCTCCAACATCAAGTAAATCTTTATAAAATTTTTCATTATATGTAACAGGAAATACATCACGATTTAATACTTTTAATTGTTTCAAATTATGTTGTGTTAAATCACCCAATTCATTCACTACATGTTTGACTCTACAAAAAAAGAAAATAGATACGTAAATGTAAAACTTTGATAATACAAGAGATATACAAACCGTCGTTTTTTATGTTCAGTATTTTCAATTGTTTTATTTTCGTTCTGTGATGAATTATTTGTACCTAATACACTATTCGTCATTTCGAGTGTATATGATGGGTTACAAAAATATATCTAAAGAAGATAAACAAAAAATTAAAAAAGTCATCGTAGTAGCAGCACTAAAAAAAGACACACATATTTTACTGTGCTACAGACATGTAGATCTAAGATTAGAATGTATTCCGTGTGATTTGGTTCATCTTTGTAGATTGTCAGGTTAATTTTATATAACTGCAAAAAAAATCTTTCATCATTTTCTTCTTCCTTAATAGTAATAAGATACTAAAGAAATAGGAAATGCAACAAGACATAAACTCTCCAAAATCGAAATGATGAAAAACATATCAAATTGAATTTTTACAAAAAAATGTGTGGTATTTGTCTTAAATTTTTTACGTGATTCATTTTCTCATTCTCTGTCAATAACTATCCAATTTTTACCATTCGCTTATCTTTTCTTTTAAATCACTGATTCATGCAACATTCTACAAAAGAAAATCTAAATAGGAACTTTCTTTTCGTTTAGTAACAGCAATTCATTTATAAATTTGACGAAATATTTGTGTTGTTTCCAAAGCATCGTTTAATAATAAGCCGACACTATTTAGTCTGAGTACAAAGGATCAATAAAGATAGCAGTGGAGAAAGGATATAGTAAAACAAACTGTAATTGAAATACATATCGAATTGTGTACTCATAAATATGTGAGCAGACGAAATATTTGCAAATTTTTTTTCCTAATAGCAACGAAGAGATTAATAATAAAGATAGATCATGTTTTTTCTTATTAAAGTTTCATGCTTGCCGTTAGTAATCTTAACTATTGTTTGCTTGTTTCGGTAATTATATATACATGTATACTCTTTTACACTAAATATGCCGTCTCTATGAACGTTGTGAAGAGAAGATATACAGTAAATAGCATAATCATAATTATAATATGCTTCATCTATTGTAAACACTATTTTTTTACAATTTTCCAAACTGTTGTATTATGACGCTTTTCTTCGCAAAGTGAAAAAGTATAAAAAGTCACATGAAACATGACACTATATTTTTCTTTAACAAAGTCCATCTGTTTTCTAAAACTAGATTTCCCACTGCATTAGTCATAATGTCACATCTTTACCTCTACATATATGTACCATTATTCATATTGCATTCTGCAGCAACAAATCATTGAGAGCAGTACATTTTTTGTCAGATTTTGTAGATGTAGATAACCAACGTAGTACTATTGTATCATTGTTCATCAGAGAGGAACAGTCAAGGTTTTGTTCTCTATCTGTTTTTATTATGAATACTATAATCTAGTTTTCAGAATCTTTAATTGATTTCTTTTCGTACAATCGTGTAAAGAAGAAAAAGTAGCTTTTTTTGTAGTATTTCTTGCAACCAGCGTGAAACATTATCTCAGTTGCTCAATATTGTAAAGAAGCACCATAAAGAAAATACGTTAATAAAAACAAAGATGAGTCAGTTTTCTTTAATTTCTACAATATAAAATAGAATAGTTTATAAGTACAAGGGAGGTTTATAGGGAAAACGTGATGAAAAATAAGAGTAAAAATTTACGATTAAAAAAAGCAAAAACAAGAAAATAATAAATTATACGGTAGTGTTCAGTATGAGTGCAGTAAAACCCAAGGTGTATGTGCGAAATTGTTTTACTGTATATTTTTAATATAAAGAAATTAATAAGCAAGTATTTGATTTTAGAGAAAAGCTGTTAGTTTAAAAGATCGCACTTTGTCTTCGAATGAATTTGTATCTAGAGCTATAAATAATAATATTTAATTTTTATGAACTGATATATATCTCATTGTTGATTAAGTAATACCAATTCATTCAATATATAACCATTGAACATTTCTGTGTATTCGATGCTATCAATTAAAACAGGCGTTGAGATAATTGGTTGATGAATAGCGTCGAAAATCTATGATTCAGTCCTGATTTGTCGACAGGTTAATTGATTTTTCTGTTTCGTCGACATTTTATAGCGTCGATGTCTCACAAGCGTCTTTCATCTTTCCCCCAAAATGTTGTCGACGAATCAGGAAAAAAAGCTAACGAGTCGACAAATCGAGACAATACCAAATCTGTGCATCGATGAGTTTTAATTCGATATGAAATAAAATCTTAAGATAAAAAAGATGAATTGTTTAGCACTAGTATAACAACAGAAAGGTATAGTAACAGAAATTTCAATCTGTTTGCAGGAAAAAAAGTTAGAGTAAAATACCTGTAGATCGTATATGTTCCTTTTCTTTTGTGATTTTTCGACATTTTCGTTATTTATATTCGAAATGCCATCGACAGTAGTAGTAATAGTTGTTGTAGTATGAATAACCGTTTGATCTTCACTTATATTAACATCAAAAGTTATAACAGCACTTGTATTGGTTACTGACGATGGAGCAAAGTGTTGAAGTTTATTTAGTTTCAATCAAATGGTAACAAATTATTGTCCTGAAATTAGACTAATATCATTGAATGAATAGAATTTTCTTATATGATAGATCTTCAAATTGAATAACACACTCATCGGAACCGTTAACTTTTAATTTAATTTTCCTAATAATTTTATCATAAGTATCATCGATAAATATTTCTGTCTGAAACAAAGAGAAAGTGCAAAAGGTTAAACAATTTGTTTCTTCGAGACTATGTATTAACGAATCAAATCAAAATCTGTTCGCCAAACAGACTTAAAAAACCGTACTTTTCTTGCAAAAAAAGTCGAATGGGATAGCAGTCATTATGAAATTAAAGATACACTTTGTGAAAAACAGTGTTTTGCGTTCAGGCTTTCTTTTTATTCAGAGCTTTTTGTTGATCCAAATACAAACCAATGGTAAGTTATCAGTATTACATATCCACACAGACAACATTCGAAGAAACATCCTATAAAAAAAATATTTTATCGGCACTGGTTGTACACGGATGCGAACGGTTGCTGAATAATTTTTTTTCTGGGTGCCGATACCAGAAAGAACGTAAAAATTTCTGATCTGCAGGATGATCCAGGTCCCGCAGGACTTTTAATACAACCGGGACCCAATTGTTTTGAAAGTAGTCTTGTATGGAGCTTAAAAATGTCTTCGTTTCTGTGCTTGTTTGTATGTAGGCACTAGTTCTACGAGAAAGAACTCATTGAAAATTCTAAAAGTCTTCAATTAATACTACTCACACATGCTATTCCACGAGCCACATTACAACTCGCTGACTTTCAAACTATCAGTGCTACTTTGAAAAAATATTTGCGGAACCACGGACCAGAACCAAAAACAAGTTCTTTCTACGGGATCGGGATCGAAACCAAAAAGATTTGGTCCCGCAGGCCTCTAAACAGTGCCGAAGTTTTGTTTTCAATCACCATTTTTTTTTGTCATAAAAGAAGCGCTCAGGCAATACTGCATGATTTTGGCACGTCAATCAGTGATCAGTGCCACACTCAATATATAATTCAGTATAAACGATCGTAATAAAAAACTGATTAAATTGATTAAATAAATTTCAGTGTCGTATTGGAATTTTTTTTATAGGCAATATTTTTACTATGACTGTGCAACACGAAATTCATGTGACTACGTGTGCAAGGTAGGCAATATAATTTTTCGTAAAAATGCTTTGTTAACTCGAACGGAAGATTAATCTCACAGGAAAAAAATGGATCGGGTGATTAATCCAAAGTGATAGAAATATTTTGCACTTTTTCGAATTAACCGAAATAAATATGTGTAAGAGATTATGAACGGTGTATGCTTCTGTATTTTTAAAAGTTTCCTTCTAAAAGTAAATCTAGATGAATAGAACAAAACTTGGTTCTTCTACAGATCGACATCCTTGACGTTTTTTTCCATGAGTTGTGGTAATTTTCCAATTTCTTTTTGGGGTCGTACTTTTTCATTGGTTGAGTGAACCAAGGGAAAGACAAGTTACAAGATGTCGGACTTGTACGTTGCTACTCATACGTGCTGGAAAAAAGTTTACAAATTGATCGATTTTATATTGTTTGATTTAGATTTTCAGTGAATTATCAATAGCATTTTTATTCGAAGTAAAAAAGCGTGAGCAATTCTAAACACTATTTAGAATTAATCACTAGACCAGTCTTAACTCTCTATCTCTTACAGTGTAAGAGATAGAGAGTTAAGGCTGGTCTAGAATTGTAGATCGCGATTCAGGCTATCAGTTGCACTGGTTGAAAATCAAAATCCATCGTACGGTCCAGGAATAGCGGTCTCGTAGGCTTTGCATCGAAAGGCTTACCATGGTAAACCTTATCTGGAAGCCTAGTTTTTGCTTACACTTACGTCCCCAAATGTTCTCTATCCAACGGTGAAAACCGCATGTCTCTAGCCCTCCCCCTTCAAAAGTTATAAGCAATCTACCCAGCCGCCTTTCTTTTTTAATACTTAATGGACGGGTATATTAAAATCACACGTAAAAAGCTCTCCTACTACAAAAAGAATGAAGAATGATCCGCTTACAGCCTAGCCTACACACAGAAACACATGTTTTGTCGTTTCTCTCGCATATAAATAAGAGGACGAAATAATCAGAAGCACAAAATAATTAAAAAAGCGAACTAAAATGAAGAGATTCTATCCTGCTTTCTTTCAAGAGTCAATCTACACATTGCGTTTTACCTGCTCGTTAATATAATCGATTCACGCTGTGGCTTTTAAAAATTCTTATTTTGTGAATCTCGAATCCATGAGTCGCGAACAGGGTTCTCAGATGTCCCCCATTGAGGGAGACAGTCACCCATTCAACCATTTTGTCCCCCAGTAAATAAAGGTGTCCTCTCAGTTCGTCCCAAATTGGCTTTGTAAGATCAAACAACATCAAAGGGGCGAGCAGGTATGAGAGTGAGCAATTTGGGACGAACTGAGAGTAAACCGTAAATAAATCTCCCATGGGGGACATATTTCGTCCCCACCGGCAATTTATTTGAAATCCTACTACTTCAGCGTCATATTTGAGATGAAAAGATTGCCGGGTTATTACATAATGTGCAAAGATTTATGCCCTCTTTAGCATATCTTGTCATAAAGATCATTATCATATAGGTGTTTGGATAGTTTGTAGTAAATAGCCCGAGTGAAAGTACTCATACG